CAAATGGGTTGGGTACGTCACAGGGTATTTTTTTATGAGCCTGGGCACACACGTGCCACTTATATGTATCCACTGGCCACCGTGCCTCTGGCACGAATGGAACTTCCCAAGGCTCACAGCTGCGCTGCTGCTGCAGCCAGGATTGTAGTTTCTTGACGGCCCGGACCACAAATCTCCTTGGCGCTTACAGGCGCTTTCGGGCGTATCCAGGGTGGTCCGCATGGGCGGGCCTCTGGGGCGGCTGCAAAGCCCCAAACTACCCAGAGAACTTCGCGGAGCCCACCGCCAAGTGCCCTCTGGACGGCCCAAGAGGCCTCTAAGAGGCTCCAAGAGGCCTCGACGTTACAAACATCGTCCCGTTCCCTTTGGACAAAAGTATATGTTTAATAGCATGTTCGCCTCTTGGGCTTTCACCACGTCGAAGACGGACCCGGAGGCCCCGAAGATCGCCCCAAGACGGCCCAAGAGGCCCCCAAGAGGACTCCAAGACCGCCCAAGAAGGCTCCAAGACGGCCTAAAAAGCTCCCAAGACGGCCTTGGGACGGCGAAGGCGCACAGGGGGGACCCGAACGGACATGTCGAGCCTTCGGCCCCAAGATGCCCCCAGGAGGCCCCGAAACGCCCCCAAGAGGCCCCAGAAGAGGCCCCAGAAGAGGCCCTGGGGCCCCAAGAGGCCCTCAAGGGACCCCACAGCTGCTTCCCAAGCTGGCCCCCGAGAGCCGTCCGAAGATACCCCAAGAAGTATCCCTGAGGACTCTGACCCACAAGCCAAGCACGGTGGTGGGATGGGCCAAAAGCCATTATACACAAGGGATATGATAGACACACCCACGTACACAAGTGGCACGTGCGTGCCCAGGCTCATACAGCAAGAACTGAAGCACGTAAACATTTCAGAAAATAGATGAGAAGAGGCATGACAAGCCGGATCCGAGGGAAAGGTGGAGGAGGAGGAGGAGGAGGACGAGGAGCGAGATGGAGAAAAAGGCAAAACAAACAACGTGAAGGAGGATAATGAAGAGTCGCAATGGGGCTGTTGGGAAGGAGGTGTGGCAACGGGATCGCAGTCGAACGCACGTGGTGTTACCACGCCTTGCGATGTGCGTGTGCGTGCGTGCACGCGTGTGTGAGTGTGTGTTTGCGTATGTGCGTGTGTATGTGTGTATGTGAGTGCGTGCGTGCGTTAGTGCGTGCGTGCGTGTGTGAGTACGTTTGTGTGTGGCGCAGGAAGACATCGCACAGCTTGCGATTGCAAATGAAATGAAGCTCCGAAGCCAATGGCTGGGATGTCTCTGGCGAAACTGGCTTCTGTTTTGTATATAAAAGATCAAGGACAACTTTGAATACATCGGGTTTCACTGATCATGGGGTGTCTGGTGCGAAACTGCTAGTTTTCTAAAAGCGACGTCCAAAAGCATTAGAAACCACTGTGTGCTTGGCAACATTGCTAAACACGCGTGAAACTCCATGGAGCGTGCGGTCCGTAACGTCGCGATCTGCGTCAGGGGTGCGTCCATTTTTCGGAATTTGGGAATGTCTGGAGCGACACGGCTATGTAAAAGAGGCCGGCTCAAAGTCATCGCCTCTGAGCTCTACTCCCGTGGAAAGGTGCACCTGAGGACATACATGTGTGTATACATATAAACATATATATGTACATATATGTATATAAATGTACATACGTATCGTACAAATGCCCGAGGGAGTACCAGAGGGCGGGTGCAAAGGGTTTGGGATAGACATGTTCGCTGGGATAGACGAGTCTTCCAATGATTGAACTCTCATCAATGAGGAACCATTATTGTTCACCCCCCCCCTCAGGTGCTGATTGTGTTTCTCAGATTGAAGTGCCACTCTCGGGGCACGCACCCAATGAGACTGCAAGGGGCAGCCTAGAGACTCCAAACGCTGTCACGGGCCCCGTTTTACAACGACGGCTCCTGCCCGATAGTTCCTGACGCTCTATTGACAAACCTGGCTTTCGCTAGAGACGTCCTGGCAACTGTTCCAAGAATCGCGGTCTCGCCTGAGACTTGCTTATACATAAACTACAAATCGCTTCCTAGGCGCTGTGGAATCGCGCCCTCGCTCTGAAGTTCCTCATACTTAACTCGGGAGCCTCGCTCTTGCTACTCCCTCTGACTCACCCTTCTCGTCCTCCATCTTATGCCTCCCTCCCTCTTGCCCCGTTCCTCCTCGCTCTCCCGTTTGCCAGCATTGTTATCATTCCTGTTCTAAACGACTGCGCCAATTACGCGTGGCAGGAACAGAAGATGTACCCCTCAAAGGGGGTGCACCACAGAAGGAAGAGGGCGGCTAGGCGGCGATCGAGGGTTTTGGGATACACATATTGGTTGACGCGCGATCTTCGAAGAGCGAGCAAGATTGAAATGAGTGCTGTTTCCCCATATCCTAAGATGGGGTTCTTGTTATTACTTGTACGGCGCCGACTCCAACCAGAACCAGAACTCCTCCTCTCCTACCCTCCCCCTCACTTTCTCATGATCATATTCATTTAGACTCAGACCAAGTCATACTCAGACTTACTCATATACTCAGTCTCGCTTGTCTAAGATGGGGTTCTTGTTATTACTTGGACGCCTCCTACTCCTCCTCCTTCCTCTTCTCGTCCCCTCCTCTTCTCGTCTCCTCCTACTCGGACTCACTCATACTCAGACTTACTCATACCCAGACTTACTCATACACCGACTTTCTCATACACAGACTGACTCATACTCAGACTAACGCATACCCAGACGTACTCATACACATACTTACTCATACTCATACCTGCGCAGACTCAGACCTTGTCCTAGTCGGACTACTCAACACACATCAGATTTGGAGGATGTCTCAGGCGGGGCGCTGGTTTCAGCACCCCTAAGGGGAGCCGCCAGGGGTGTTTTCACGGGCCCGTTCGCGGCCATTTTGTGGGGATGTTTCAAACGGTTTGCCCGTTGTCATGCTCATCATTCCTCGCTCGGAGAGCAGATCGTGAGGATGTCTCAGGCGGGGCGCTGGTTTCAGCCTGAGGGGAGCCGCCAGGGGTGTTTGCACGGGCCCGTTCGCGGCCATTCTTGGGGGATGTCTCAAGCGGTTTGCTTGTTTTCATGCTCAACATCTTCTCCTTTCAGAGCAGATTGTGAGGATGCCTCAGGCGGGGCGCTGGTTTCAGCACCCCTCAGGGGAGCCGCCAGGGGTGTTTGCACGGGCCCGTTCGCGGCCACTTTGTGGAGATGTCTCAGGCGGTTTGCTTGTTTTCATGCTCAACATCCTTGGTTTTCATAGGAGGTTCTGAGGATGTCTCATGCGGGGCGCTGGTTTCAGCACCCCTTAAAGGAGCCGCCAGGGGTGTTTTCACGGGCCCGTTCGCGGCCATTGTGTGGGGATGTCTCAAGTGGTTTGCTCGTTTTCATGCCCAACATCCTTGGCTTTCAGAGCAGATTCTGAGGATGTCTCAGGCGGGGCGCTGGTTTCAGCACCCCTAAGGGGAGCCGCCAGGGGGTGTTTTCACGGGCCCGTTCGCGGCCATTTTGTGGGGATGTCTCAGGCGGTTTGCTCTTGTTCATGCCCAACAAGCATCCGTAAGGAGAGCCGCCAGGGGGTGTTTTCACGGGCCCGTTCGTGGCCATTTTGTGGGGATGTCTCAGGCGGTTTGCCCGTCAGTGCGGTCATGAACAGACGCTCACTATGGCATGACATAAAACATGAGATGCACATACGGGGAGCTCCACGCAGTGAGTAATTATTGTCGTCGTCGTCGTCCCCGTCGTCGTCCCCCCCGCGACCCACACGGCGACCCACCCGGCGCCCGCCCCCTCACTCTAATCTGCAGCTTCGGGATGCGATGTGCACTCACATACTCTGCCACGCGCAGAGGGGATAGGGGGAGGGGGGGAGGGCTCTGAACAGGAGGCTGCTTCTCAGAAGGTGCGGGCCCTGTCTCCAGATGTAAGAACCCCCGCCTTCGAAGAAGCAGCCCCCCTCCAAGAAGCCTTCCCCCCTCCCCCCCACCCCCCCTCTGCGCATGGCCGACGTGCACCCAGCGCCTCGCATCGTGCGACGCGTGGCCCCCCCAGGACCTCTGCGACCCCCCCTTGCCCGGGGCCGGCTCTCTCCACTCCTGCATGGTTCTGTGACGGCCCCGAGGCCGCCGGAGGCCACGTGTGGCGACCGACGCTGGCCGCGCAGGTTCTGTGTGAGTCGTCGGACGCCTGCGTTCCTCCTCCTCCTCCTCCTCCTCCACCTCCACCTCCACCTCCACCTCGTCGTCGTCCTCCTCCTCCTCCACCTCGTCGTCGTCCTCCTCCTCCTCCTCCTCCTCCTCCTCCTCCTCCTCCTCCTCCTCTATGGACTTCTCCGCCCGCGGCCCCAGATCGCCCCACCCCTTCCCCGGGGGGAAGCCCTGCGCGCCCGGGATCCGTGACTGCCCCGGGGTGCCAGATCCGCCCCCGACGGCCGAAATGCCTTCCCCGGGGGGAAGCCCTGCGCGCCCGGGATCCGTGACTGCCCCGGGGTGCCAGATCCGCCCCCGACGGCCGAAATGCGAGCACAGCGTCGCGTTTGACAGCGTCACAACGTCGGGGATCTGGGCTCGTGGCCTCCGAGAGACCGTGCGGCGCTAACCAGCCTCGATTTCATCCTTATCCCCCAGACTGACAAGCCCAAGGGCCAAGGGCGATGGCAATGAAAAAGGGATGCGCCCGGAGAAACGGAGGCAATCCTTCAGATCGGCATCGAGATAAGGCGATGCCAACCATGAAATGGGCACTGCGCACGCTCTGGCGACACGATGCGTTTGCTCTGCCACGGCTCTGCTAATTACCTCGGCTGGCAGCCTTGCTTGCTTGCTCAGCGAGTTCGAGCCAAACGCTGTTCTGTACAGATGCTCCGCCTTCCCGCGACGCTGTAAGAGACCTGCCTAAGGCTGGTTGGGTGCTCCTGCCCTTTGATTGCAAGAGCCCGCGCGGCGCTCCGCCCCGAGAAGCTGCCCGCTGCGCCCGCTGCCCAGGCACAGCGACCCCGCGACGCCGCCGCAGAGGCCGCCGGCGGGAGACGCGGGCGGTCGCCAGCCCTCGCCGTGCTGGCCGTGCGGCGGAGCTCTGCCGCGGCCGGGGCTGCGGGGGGCGCTGGCCTCCAGGCAGGCTCGGCCAGCACCGATGATCGCGGCATCGGAGCGGGGCGGAGCGTGCAGCCCATCGATGCGCGTCGCTCTCGAGGGAAGCTCGAAGCGAATCGGCTTCGGCAGACTGCGCCGAACCGCCGACGCATCGCCGATGCATCGCCGACGGCGCGGAGACATCGGGCTCCGCATCGAGCCGCATCGCCGACGCATCGCCGATGCGGCGAGCATCGAGTCGCGACATCGGACCCGTTCGGAGCGGGCATCCCATCGGCACGCATCGCTCTGGGGCGGAAGCCGCATCGGATCGCCGGGATAAGGAAATCCAATGGGATGGCGCTGGCCGAAATCAGTACCGAATTGGATCGATCAGGTTGAAATGGACCCTGCCTGGGCCCCATTGTCGGGGACTTCTGATAGACTAGGGCCCGAATCTCCGACGCATGGGGTTTCTAATTCCTGACGTTTTCGTCCTCGATTTGCCGAATGCTCTCCGCACCTACGAGCGTTTCCCCTGGCGGTTTCATTGAAAGTACACTTCTGAACTACACGTGGTGGAACGCATGCTGTATGAAACATGCATTGTACTGTTGCCCAACCCGCCAAGCTTATCTTGAATGCGCTTCACTGCCATAGCGTCTCACGCCCTCCGTCTCCGCTTGCGGACCGAGGGCCCTCCGTGTGCTCCTCGACCAGACTTGACCTTGTAACTTTTGAGGGCCTCTGGTGCCCCGCGGACCATACCGGACCTGGGGCATCAAATGGATGCACCTGGGGGAGGGGTCGGGATCTCTGGGGCCGCGGATGCAAACACACACACACACACACACACTTGCGGCAGAAGGCCCTAAACTTCTTAACCCACTTACGAGAGGAACCACGATTAGAGGGCCACGATGGGGCCATCGGGATAGGTATAGGGATGGCGATATCGGGCCAGCGGTACCGATGGGGAGAAAGGGATAAGCATCCAGATGGGGATACGAGGGGAAATGAAAAAAGGGACAGGGATACATAATAGGCATAGAAATAAGGACGGCTATGGGAGGCCACGGCAGGCAACAGGAGGCTACGAGAGGAATGGGGAGGCAACGGGAAGCCACGGGAGGCCACGGGAGGCAACGTCAACCGCCCGATCACAGATCCAACAGCCCACCTACGCGCTTGTTAGACAACCAATATCCATGTACATCTACACACGGAAGCCAAGCTGCTCAAATAATCATATTGTCGGATGTCTGGGGCCCCTTGGCGCACCCAGGAAACCTGCAGCCGGGGCTCGAAGCATTCACCATTCCTTGTTTGTCTTCCGCCGGCTCTTTGCACCTTCCTGGCTGCAAGCTCAGAGCCTTCTTCGGCTGCGTCTAGGAGGGGGGCGTCCAAGAAGTGCAGGGGCGCAAATAATGGGCGACGTCACGTGCGCGGCTCAGAGTGGGGGGGGGGCGGGGACAGATTGAAGTAGGAAGAGGCGCCATGAAATTTGGAGAGATATCATGGCCCCCCGCCATGACCCCGCTGCCGCCCTCGATTTCTGCGGCCTTGACGGCCTGGGAGGTCTTCGAGGCCGGGTCTGCACCTCCGCGGAGGAGCCCTCGTACACCACCCCCGCGCCTGTCCAGGGCCAGCATGGGACCCCTGGATGGCGTGCACAGAGCCCCTCTCTTCGCGGATAACAAAAGACACGGCCGGATATTGTTGGCAATTCCGTCGATCCGTATAGCTTGGAAGCACGATAAGGATGCCAGGGCCTTGGAAGCCCATGTCGAAACTTTGCGGGCGGGGTTCGGCCAGCGAAAGCGGCAAAGGATGGGCCGAAGGGGAAGGGTGCAAGGGTAACCGTTGACGGTCGCGGGTCGTCACTATGCGGGATGATTGTTGTCGGCCTCTGGGGGCCATCAGAGGTTCCCGAGCCCGTCGAACAACGACTCAGGCTGACAAGCTGGACCCCAGGGAAGGCGCCGAGGCCTGACGAAGAGTCCACGTGGCGGGAAATAGTGTCGCCGGAGATATATATATATATATATATATATATATAATAAATAAATTGAAAAAAACAATGCGCCCAGCCAAGGCCATCCTTGGAGGCCGACCAAGTCCGCCACGGTGCCTGCGGCACGTGGAGGCGTGGAAGGAAGCCAGGGGCTGTCTTGCAAGGTTTCTGTAGTCTTCTACGTGACGCCGTCACACCCACCTGACTGCATCGCCCCTAGTACCAATCCCATGGCGCCTCTGTGGGGCTCTCCAAGGCTTCCAGCATGTCCCCAAGACGGTCCAAGAAGGACCCGAGTCGCCGGACGATCGCCCGAAGACGCCCAAGACGGCCTCCAGATGGCCCTAGAGGCCTCCGAGACGCCCCAGGAACCTCCAAGAGGCCTCCAAAGAGGGCCCCACGAGGCAAACATCATTGACATCCCTTAGGCTTCGAAATAATTGTTGAGTTCTCGCCTTCTCGGCTTTCCGAGGCCCCAAGACGGCCCAGGAGGCCCCCGAGATCACCCCCACAGCTGTCCAGAGCCACGGAGATGGTCGGCAATTGTCGGCCTCTAGGAGCCCTCAGATGTCCCCGAGGCCGTCGAAGAACGTCTCGGGAAGGCGCCGAGCCCTGACAAGCAGCCAACACTGCGGGAAACAGTGGCGTCGGATGTTTGGCCCCGTGGCCAGGGCCATCCTTAGAGACCGTCCATGTCCGCCAGCGTGCCTGCGGCACGTGGTGGCGCGGAAGAACGCCAAGGGCTGCCTGGCAGCATTCCTGTAGTCTTCTAAGGGACCCCCCATCCTCCCGGTCACACCCACCTGCATCGCCGATATGACCGGAGGCTCCCATGGCGTCGCCCTGGGGATCCCCACGACGGCCCAGGAAGCTCCCAAGACGTTCCAAGAGGGACCAGAGTCGCCGAACGATCGCTAGAAGACGCCCAAGATGGCCTCCAGATGGCCCAAAGGCCTTCAAGACGCCCCAGAAACCTCCAAGAGGCCCCCCAAGAGGGCCCCAAGAGGCAAACATCATTGACTTCCATTCGGTGTTCGAAAGAAGTTTGGCGTTCTCGCCTTTTCGGCTCTCTGACGCTCCCAAACAGCACAAGAGGCCCGCAAGACCACCCCAAAACGGCCCAAGAGGCCTCCAAGAGGGCCCTCAGAAGGCCTGAGCGCCCTAAGACGGCCCAAGAGGCGCCGAAGACGGCCCAAGAGGGCCCCAAGACGGACCCGAAAGGAGTCCAGGAGAGGGAACACGGCCTGAAAAGCTGAGCCTTCCGCCCCACGAGGCCCCCAGGAGGTTTCAAGAGGCGCCCGAGACCCCAAGAGGCCCCCAAGAAGCCCTCAAGATGCCCAAAACAGGCCCAAAGAGGCCCCAGAATGGCCTCCAAGAGGCCTACCACGAGATCCCTACGAATACCAGAGGCTTCACACACACAACCCAGATACAATGGCGGGACTTGCCATAGGCAGCTGGACAGGGCGGTAGCAGATGGGGTCCGAGGATCGCGCCGCATCGCCGATGCAGATCGCGCCGCGTCGCCGATGCATCGGCAATGCGGCGTGATTCTCCGATCCCATCTACACTGGCCGCATTTGGGCGGCCTGGACCCAGGGCCATCCATCCTGGGCCCTAGGATGGCGTACAGACCCTCCTGGCCTCGGCCAGGATGGGGGCGCATGCGCCGTGGCCCTGGGCAGGCGTGGTGGTGGTGGTGGTGCAGGAAGAGGGCCCCCCCGCGTTTGCACCGCCGAGGCTGGGCCGGCTCTGTCCCGCGCCCCTGTTCCACTGGCCGCGGCCCGGCGAGGCTCTCGGCTGCGCCTTCGGCAGCAGAGCGGCGTGGCTGCCCGCCGGCGAGGACACATCGGTTGCCTCCTGCCTGCCCACCGTGGCGGGGGTCGGTGGCGAGGCGTCCTCGTCGTGCCACTTAGCTTCGATCCTGAGCTCGGCGGGCGGCTCCACGGTCGCGAGCACGCCGTCTCTGTACAACTTATCGGTCGCCAAGCCGTCCGTACCGCTGCCGACTGTGCAGTTGCCATCGCGGCAGTTGTCCTCGTGACCGTCCGTCCTGCTGCTGGAGGTGCAGTGGCCCTCGCCCTGCATCGACTTCCTGGCGAACCGCGAAGACACCGCTGGTGCAATCACCTCGCCTCGACGGACTCATCTTGATCCCGGTCAACACTTGCACCAAAAACGAAATCGTTTCGAGAAGGTGCGGCCCTCTAGGTTCTAGGTGGGATCCACCGGCGCTTCTCGAGACGACTCCGTTGAGGACCTCAGCATTGAAAAGGCCAACACGACTCTGGGGACCTCCAGCGTTGGACGGGAAGTCTCTCACAAAGGATTTCTCCAGATCCCTGTCGCGGTCCGCGACGAAGTCAAACTTCGGCGGACTGACGGCGTGCTTCCTCAGCAGGGAGATGAGGCTTCTATTCATGTCGTCCTGCATCTCCGCGAGCGGCAAGTCGTTCCAATCGTCGCCGAATGGGTTCTCCAGCTCCACCGCGATGTAGTTCACACCCCAGTAAGAGAAACAGACGAGGAATGCTGTAAGGCCTGCCATCGATGGATTCGACAACATTATGGCGCACGTTATCGCGGTGGCGATCCAGTGCAGGATCAACAGCATCGCAATGAGCTGCGCGAGATTGAAAGGCACCATGAACTCCTTTATCTTGCGGGCGTTGTTCAACTTCACAATCCCCTGCCCAAGCTGGTTGTAGACACGCGCCAAGATCGGGGGAGCAATCTTCACGATATCGTCGGTGTTAGCCTCAACAATGAGCCTCTGAATCCACTGAAGAACCAACTCGCACGCGTCGTGCGTCATGTCTGGTCTCATGTATGCGATCGCGTTCTGAAAGCCCTCAGGGTTGACATACTCCAACTGGGGTGGCGTCTTCATCGTGTGGACCTGCTCGAGGCCCCTACCGTACAGCAGGCTGAAGAGGCGCACCATCTTGTGCTGGAAGATCTCCACCTCTGGGGGAACAGAAAGATTCGCCTGCATGCTGCAGTGGACCTGTGCAGGGGGGGGCAGATCCACACACGAAGGCCACAGAACAAAAGCTCACTCAGGCGAACGGTCGGTCAATCTCAAGCGCAACCGAACCCTTGGGGCAAAAGAAAAATACCGATGCCACTGTTCCCCACGCTTCTCTGCTATTAGACTGGGTCGATTACATGGCAAACGTGACCGCCATGGAATCTCAGTAAAAATTGTCCCGCGGATTCCCGCGAATCTCCTATCTCCGAAACAATCTGCCGGCAAATCTCCAAAACACCTTCGCGCCTGAAAAATTTCCCAGCGAGTCTCTAAAACATCGTCGCGCCTTCAAAGTATGGCAGCGAATCTCCCAAACACTTTCGCGCCTTACATCTCCAAGGAGATCTCCGCGGCAGATGATTCCGCAGATTGTGTGGATGACGTCAAATGATATATTCACATGGTTTCTGCACGCCGGAGATTGTCCGTGGCATTTCTGTATATTTGTTGACGATTCCTGCACGCCCAGAAAATGTTGCCGGAGATTTTCCAGAGACTCCTGCACCACCGAGATTTTCTGGAGATTTCCCCAGACAAATTCTGAAACCCAGGAATGTCCAGAGATTGTGGAAATGCCCAGATACAATCTGGAGACTCCCCCAGAAGAAGTTCCAGAGATTTTTCACACAGCGGGCCCTGGTGGCATAATCCATACTGGCCCAATCTAACTCTGGAGGTGTGGCCTGGCAAGGAGTCCGAGGCCAGCAGTGGCGACGAAAGGACAGGAAGGCCCACAGAGATGCCTTCTCCTGCATCACGGGGTCCTCGCTCGGGTTAAGGAACGCCATGAGGTTGCTGAACGCGTTGAACCAATCGCCCCTGAGCTGCTGCAACAGCGTGCCGCCCTCCCACCACCGCGAGTACGCCTGTTGCGTTCGGAACACGATGAGGAAGCCGAGGACGAAGGAGAAACCCTAGAAGTGGGGCAGCGACTATACACCCACACCGATCCTGGCCAGGGCCACCCTGGCATGGCCGGGAAGGCGTGTACACCGATCCTTGGCTAAAGATTGGCCAGGCCAGGACTGGTGTGGGTGTACGGATGGCGTCCTCCCACCTGGTGGACGGAGGCGCTCAGGTCACCCTCCAGCTGCGTCCGCGTCTCGGGATACCTCGGCTCGGATGTCCCCAGGGGCGCGCCCTCCCCAGAAGCTTTCCACCAGGACACGCGAAGACGTAGATCTCCGATCCTGCTCGATCCTCGACCCTTCCGAGGACGGGTTTATCCAGATCCACCGCCTACGGAACCACGGTCTCCCAGGATCTCGGGAGGCGCGGTATCTCTGTACCTTCGAGCCCCATGCGGACCCAAGATGCCCATAAACATCCTCTGCCTGCTGCTGGATTCCTGCAAGATCGGCCTCCAAGACGGTGAATACGGGTCAGTTCCCGCCTCGGAACCCTCGGTATTCGATCATTCCTCTCATCCTGGACATCCGACGGCATTCTTGTCCCGACCATACTGCGGTGTTGGGTCCTCCTTTTGAAGAGGCAGCGCCCCGCGTCACTCCGCTCCTCTTCTCCTCTTCTCCTCTTCTCCTCTTCTCCTCCTCCTCCTCCTCCTCCTCCTCCTCCTCCTCCTCCTCCCTCTCCTCTCCTTCCCCTTCCCCTCCTCCCTCCTCCCATCCCTGCCACTGCCCTGCGCATGTCTATTGAAGAAAACCCTCACACGTTTCGTGGCAAGCTCATCCGACAGCCCCAATGGCAAGATTCGCATGCGGTTCCCGCCCATGTCGGCACAACCCACACACGCTACGTGGCCACATAGGGAGCTCCCGCCCATTTCGGCGCATCCCTCTCACGTTTTGTGGCCCCAGCGGGAGCACCACCAACTGGTAAAAATCGCATGCGGTTGCCCGCCCATTTCGGAACACTCTCACAAGTTTCGTGGCCCCTGAGGGAGCTCCAGCGAATGCCCCAGTGAGAAAATTCGCGACCCACCCCGCGACCCACCTCGCGACCCACCCCGCGATCCACCCCGAGAACCCCCCAGCGACCCACCCGCGACCCACCCGCGACCCACCCGCGACCCACCCGCGACCCACCCCGCGACCCACCCGCGACACACCCGCGACCCACCCGCGACCTACCGCCACTCACCCGCGACCCGCCCGCGACCTACCCCGCGACCCACCCAAAATGTTCGGCGCCTGCGGCGGGCTTCTTTTGCATTCGTTCCAAGAACCTGCGACCCACCCGCGACCCAAACCGCTTTCAGTGTACAAATCAAAACGTTCGGCGCCTGCGGCGGGCTATTTTGGAATCTCTTCCAGGTGAAGGTGGAGAGCCCGCGACCCACCCGCGACCCAAACTACGTTCACTGAACAAGCCAAAAAATCGGCGCCTGCGGCGGGCTGTTTTGCCCACTAGCGATCCCCCCCGCGCTGAACTTGTCAGAGCACGCAAATCGGCGCCTGCGGTGGGCTTGCTCGCATGGGTTTGGGAAAGCGCCGTCGTGCCATTCCCCCAATCCGTCCCACGCTGACTCTACAACAGCGCATCGGCGCCTGCGGGGGAGGAGGAGGAGAGGAGGAAAAGGAGGAAGAGGAGGAGTAGGTGGATGAGGAGGAGGCGGACGACGGCGAGGACGACGACGACGACGACGACGACGACGACGACGATGAGGACGACGACGCGGACGAGGAAGAGGAGGAGGAGGAGAAGGAGGAGCAGGAGGAGGAGGAGGAGGAGGAGGAGGAGGAAGAAGGCGCCATCGAGAGGGAAGGTGAGGGCCACGAGGTCCGCCGGCTCGACGCCCGCGTCGCCCGCGCCCGTCCGCTCAGTCTTATCCGCAATTGCGGGGTGCTACGTAACAGTTAGATGTGTGTAGGTGTAGCAGGCCGATAGGAGGACGGCCGCGCGCGACAAGGCACACGAAGGGAGCGCAGCTAACGACTCCGAGTGGGATCTGCAGTGGAACTCTCGCTGGGGCCGCGAAGCGTGTGATGGGTGTACCGAAATGGGTGGGGAACCGCATGCGAACTTTGCCACTGGGGCCTTCGGTGGAGCTCCCTATGGGACCACGAGGCGAGGAGCCCTTGGGGGCATCAGACAGTGCAAACAAAAGCGCCACAAACTCCTTGATCAAGGATCCTCGATCCTCCCCTCCTCATGTCCTCCTCGATGCTCGATTTCCTCCGCAATGGGTGCCTTAACTGGATGGACCCAGTCTTGGCGACGAGACGCCCCCGGAGGCTCACACAGGCTGAGAAACGCCCCCACGGCCTTGATCGTGGATCATCGCTCCTCCACCTCCTCCTCGCTCCCCTTCCTCGGTCCTCTTAGATCCTCGACCTCGAGGGGTGCCTCTGCAAGGTAATGTTGAGCGCGATGGCGAGCAGCGCGCAGGGCACCGCGAGCACGACGCACCTGTCGATCACCGAACCGTGCAGCTGGAAGGCGAATCCGCCAACCCCCCGTGCGCCCTTCGCGAACGGCGACCACACGGTCATCCTGCTGACCAAACGAACGCCGGATATAACTGGGTCTGGAGTTCCGGGGCCGCGGCTGGAAAAACCGCTAGCCTGGCGAAGGACCCAACCATATGCAACTATGAGTACCGCAAATATAAATATCATTCCCGCCGGCGCTCCCTATGGGGCCACGAACCGTGTGAGGGGCGTGCCGACATGCGTGGCGGGGCACACAACGCGAGCGAAGACGATAGGTCTGTGTGCGAGAGAGTGGGAGCGCGTGAGTCTGATTATGGGTGGGTCTGCGCGCGCGTGAGTCTATGTGCATAAATGTCGACGCCCATGTCGGCGCGCCTCTCACGAGGATCGCGCCCGCTTCATTCCCGTTCTTCTTTTCCCTCTTTGCCCGTGCACGCCCACGTCCAAGGCTGCGGGCGCGGCGCCGCACGGAGTCCCCGCGACGTGCGCTGGTCGCCCCGAAGGGGTCCCGGCGACGCGCGCGGGTCGTCCGCTGCGAGGAGCAGAGCGAACGAGCAGGCTGGCTCCCGCCCGGGATGCGCGGCCCGAAAGCGGCCTCAACACGTCGAATACGACGAAAAACCTCAAGAAACCGAAAGTCGCCGCCATGCGAACTCCGCCACTGGGCCGCCATGCGAGTTCCGCCACGGAGACCTTAGGTGGAGCTCCCTATGGGGTCGCGAAGCGTGTGAAGGGTGTAACAAAATAAGGCTGCGCCACTGGGACCTTAGATGGAGCTCCCTATGGGGCCACAACACCTGTGAGGGGGTGCCAAAGTGGGGCGGCGCCACCATGCGGGCTGCGCCACTGGGACCCTCGATGGAGCTCCCTATGGGGCCACGAAACGTGTGGTGGGGTGTGCCACAATGGAGCGGCCGCGCCATGCTGCGCCACCAGGACCGTAGGTGGAGCTCCCTATGGGGCCACGAAGCGTGTGAGGGGTGTGCCAAAATGGAGCGGCGCCTGCGGGCTGCGCCACTGGGACCCTAGATGGAGCTCCCTATGGGGCCACGAAACGTGTGAGGGGTGCGCCAAAACGGGGCGGCGGCGCCATGCGGGCTGCGCCACCAAGACCGTAGGTGGAGCTCCCTATGGGGCCACGAAACGTGTGAGGGGTGTGCCAAAATGGGGCGGCGGCGCCATGCGGGCTGCGCCACTGGGACCTTAGATGGACCTTCCTAAGATGCCACATGGGGCGGCGGCGCCATGCGGGCTGCGCCACTGGGACCGTAGGTGGAGCTCCGTATGGTGCCACGAAACGTGTGAGGGGTGTGCCAAAATGGAGCGGCGGCGCCAAGCGGGCTGCTCCACTGGGACCGTAGGTGGAGCTCCCTATGGGGCCACGAAGCGTGTGAGGGTTGTGCCAAAATGGAGCGGCGCCGCCATGCGGGCTGCGCCACTGGGACCGTAGGTGGAGCTCTCTATGGAGCCACGAAGCGTGTGAGGGGTGTGCCAAAATGGGGCGGCGGCGCCATGCGGGCTGCGCCACCAGGACCGTGAATGGAACTCCCTATGGAGCCACGAAGCGTGTGAGGGGTGTGCCAAAATGGGGCGGCGGCGCCATGCGGGCTGCGCCACTGGGACCTTAGGTGGAACCCCCTATGGGGCCACGAAGCGGTGTACTGGGTGGGTGAAACGCAGGGGGGAGGGAGGAGGGGGGGAGGAGGAGGAGCGGAGGAAGAACGCGGGGACCGTCTCTTCAAAACGAGGACCCATCACCACAAGATGGTTCGGAAAAAACCTCGAGGGATGTCCGGGCCACCAGGTTCGAGGACCGAGGTTGGAGGCTCGAGATGTGTGGGCGCGGCGGCAAATCTTGATCATGGATGTGCTGGGCCCCCTTCATGGCGCGCAGAGTGCGTCAGGGGCGGCGACGGAGGTGCCGCCAGGGCGGCCCAGCGCAGCTCCAAGAAAGCCGCGCGGAGCTCCGAGAGCTTATGTTTACGAAATTGGAAAGTTCCTCGATGACAGGATCCCCTGTGGCGAAACGCCCTTTGGTGAAAGCGGCTGGGGGGCACTCCAAGGGTGCGCGCGGCACCGCATTCCGAATGCACGCGGGCGGCATAACTACAGAAACAACTATCAAGCACTATCTGACAGACTCGCGCAACCGCTCATCAACGCCCAAGAACTACCGACGGCTTCGGGCAAACCGCACGTCGATTAGCCAGACCGACGGGAGATTTCACCGGCACGCTGCGACTGCCAATGCCGAGTGAAGCGGCGCAGGATTCCTCAATCGCCTTGTTCCTACGACCCCAAGGCAGGATCAGCCAGTATCGAATCGGGAAACCAAATTGAATCGGAATGTGCGTCAGATCGGTCTGCATCGGCACTGGACCGAAATCGAATCGGATCGGCCGCGCCAGGATGCCCAGCAACGCCGGGTAAACATCGGGCCGCATCCGATCGTCGGCGGTCTCGGAATCGAGCCGTTTCCAGCCGGCCAGGATAGATTTTTGCACAGGTTCGAGTCATGGGCCAATGGTTGCCTATCGGCCCTGGGCCGTCTTAGCAGTCTTCGAACGGTGTTCGGCGGTCTTCGATCGCTTTCTGACGGTCTTCGGCAGTCGTCGGTGGTTTCTGGCAGTCTTTGACGCGAATGCTGGATGGCTGCTGTAGAGGAAGGATCCATGACCGAACGCCCGAGCTATCGAATCGGATCGATGGCGAAGCCCTTCAGACAGGATACCCCACTTCCCCTCGTCGTACGCGATCATCCCCGCCGTCGGCGCCGCGCGGAGGGGGAGGCCTGGGACGGGAGGCCCGCGCACGCCTGGTGAGCTCGCGATCGGGTGCTGCCCTCGAGCCACTCCCAGAGAGGTCAACGCAGGAGCCGAGGAGGGGGGATGATGGTCACCTGGGAGAGGAGGAGGAGGAGGAGGCGGAGGAGGAGGAGGAGGAAGGTAAGGTCATGCTCCTGTGAAGCCGGAACTCCGACGATCCTGGGAGAAAACTCCGGGTTGCACCCTCAAAACATGACCTCGGCACTCCTCGATAGGAGGGCGCCAGCGACGGTGCCTTTCGGCACTCGTCGGCGCAATGCCGAAATCAGCCACTGGCAAGCTGCTGCGCCCGGCTTATTCTCGAGGGGCAATGGAGGCCTGCTCCTCGAGCTCGAGGTAGCCAGCGGGCCGGGATCCCCTTTTGTGGCACTTTCCAAGAATGATTGCTGTTGTGGGGACTTTCATCAGAGTCCCGTTTGTGGCGCTTCCAAAAAAATCCCACTGTGATAGTTTCCAAGATGATGCCGTTGTGGTGCTTTCCAAATGCCTCCTGTTGTAAAGCTTTTCAATCGATTTTTGTGGTGTTGGGTCCTCGATTTGAAGAGACGGTCCCCGCGCTCTCCTCCTCTCCTCCTCCTCCTCCCCCTCCTTCCTACCGTCCGCGTGCGTCTCGCACACCCAGTACAGCGTTTCGTGGCCCTCCTCCCCCTCCTCCTGCCATGCGTTACGCACACCTAGTTCGGCACACCACTCACACGCTTCGTGGCCCCATAGGGATTTCCACCGAAGGCCCCAGTGCCGCCGCCCACATGCGCCCCGCACGCCCAATTTGGCACACCCCTCACACGCTTCGTGGCCCCATAGGGAACTCCACCGAAGGCCCCAGTGCCGCCGCCCAAATGCGTCACCCACACCCACCCAATTCGGCACACCTCTCACACGCTTCGTGGCCCCATAGGGAGCTCCACCGAAGGCCCCAATGGCCGCGGTCACATGCGTCCCCACCGCCCACCCCGGCACGCCACTCACAGGTTTCGTTGCCCCATGGGGAACTCTACCGAGGGCCACAATGGCACCGCCCGCATGCGTCACCCGCACCCAATTCGGCACGCCCCTCACACGCTTCGTGGCCCCATAGGGAGCTGCACCGAAGGCCCCAGTGGCGGCGCTCACGTGCGTCCCTGCCACACATCCCGGTATACCCTTCACACGCTTCGTAGCCCCATAGGGAGCTCCACCGAAGGCCCCAGTGGCGGCACTCACATGCGTCTCCGCCACCCATCCCGCCCCCCCCCCCCCCCCGCATGTTTCGGGGCCCCATAGGGAACTCCATTGGAGGCCCCAGCGGCGGCCCTCACATGCGCTTCCGCCACCCATGTCGGCACACCCCGCACGTGCTTCATGGCCCCATAGGGCGCTTCACCGAAAACCCCAGTGGCACCGCACCCATCTGGGCTCACCCCTCACACGCTCCGTGGTCCTATGGGGAGTCCCAGTGAAGATGAAACCCACAGCTGCGGTACTCACGACTGCATACGGTTGGATTTTTCGCCGGGCTAATTTTTGCGGCGCTTTCCTAAATATTATTTTTGCTGTGCTTCCCATCGAAATATCCTTGTGGTGCGTTCCAACAGCTTTCTGTTGTGACGTTTTCGAATAGAACCTTTTTGCGGCGCGTCCCAAAGGATTCCCACTGTGAGGATTTCCCGTAGAATCCCTTTTGCGGCGCTCACCAAAATAACATTGTTGCGAGGTTGCGGGGGCTTTCCAGTAGAATCTCTGTGTGGTGCTTTCAAGTGAATCTTGTCGTGAGGCTTTCCAATGGAATCCCTCTGCGGCGCTACCCGAAGGATTCCAGTCGTGAGGCTTCCCAATTGAATCCCTGTGGCACTATCCGATGGAGTCCACTTCCAATTGGAGACCTCCGTGGTGCTTTCAACCAGGTTTTCCGATGTGGATTTTCCCTATCGAATCCCTCAATGGTGATTTCCACTGGAAGCGTTCCAACATAATCTCCTTGTGGTGCTCCCCAATGGGTTCCGGTTGTGAAGTATTTCCATAGAATCTCGTAGTGGTGCTTCCCAATGGATTCCACATTTGAGGCTTTCCAGTACGTAGCACCCCGCAATTGCGGATAAGAGTGAGGGGGCGGGCGCGGGCGGCGCGGGCGTCGAGCCGGCGGACCTCGTGGCACTCACCTTCCCTGTCGATGACGCCTTCCTCCTCTTCCTCCTCCTCCTCCTCCTCCTCCTGCTCCTCCTCCTCCTCCTCCTCCTCCTCTTCCTCGTCCACGTCTTCGTCCTCATCGTCGTCGTCGTCGTCGTCGTCGTCCGCCTCCTCCTCATCCACCTCCTCCTCCTCTTCCTCCTTTCCTCCTCCTCCTCCTCCGCAGGCGCCGATGTGCTGTTGTAGATTCAACGTGGGCCAGATTGGGGGAATGGCACGAGGGCGCTTTCCCAAACCAATGCGAGCAAGCCCGCCGCAGGCGCCAGTTTGCGTGCTTCGACACATTCAACGCGGGGGGGATCGCTGGTGGGCCACCCGGAACGAATGTAAAAACAGCCCGCCGCAGGCGCCGAATTTCTGGTTTGTTCAGTGAACGTAGTTTGGGTCGCGGGTGGGTCGCGGGCTCTCCACCTCCACCTGGAAGGAATTCAAAAACAGGCCGCCGCAGGCGCCGGAAAAAAATTGATTTGTACACTGAGCGCGGTTTGGGTCGCGGGTTGGGTGGGTCGCGGGTGGGTCGCGGGTGGGTGGCGGTGGGTCGCGGGTGTGTCGCGGGTGGGTCGCGGGTGGGTCGCGGGGTGGGTCGCGGGTGGGTCGCGGGTGGGTCGCGGGGTGGGTCGCGGGTGGGTCACCGGTGGGTCGCGGGTGGGTCGCCGGGGGGGTCTCAGGGTGGATCGCGGGCGGGTCGCGGGGTGGGTCGCGGGTCGCGGGTGGGTCGCGGGGTGGGTCGCGGGTGGGTCGCGGGGTGTGTCGCGGCTGTGTCGCGGGTGGGTCGCGGGGTGGGTCGCGGGTGGGTCGCGGGTGGGTCGCGGGTGTGACGACGACAACAACCAACAAACAACAAACAACAAACAACAAGCAACAAGCAAAAAACAACAAACAACAAATAACAAACAACAAACAACACACAACTAACAACAAGCAACAAACAACTAACAACAAACAACAACCAACAAAAAACACACAACAAACAACAAAAACAACAACAACAACAACAACAACAACAACAACAACAACAATCCGCATAGCGGAATTCCACTTCAGCCACGCGCCCAGGGACCTTGAATGACCGTTCGGCTCAGCCCCCTCACTCTGATAAGATGTTTGTGGTTCTTTCCAAAAGACTCCTTTCGTGAAGCTTCCCAATAGAATTTCCTTGCGGTGAGTTCCAAAGGATTCCTATTGTGATGCTTTCCAATGGAACCAGCGCGTTCCAAAGGATTTCCATTGTGAGGATTTCCCGTGGAATCCCTCTGTGGCGCTTTCCAAAATATCCTTGTTGCGAGACTTTCGGATAGAATCTTTGTGTGGTGCTGTCCAGAGGGGTTCTGCGCGGCGCTATCCAAAAGATTCCTGTTGTGAGGCTTCCTGTTTCATTCCCTCTGTGGTGCTTCCCGATGGGTTCTTTTTCGTGCGGCTTTCCAATAAGAGCCCTCAGTGGTGTTTCATACAGCTTTCTGGTGTGAGGCTTTCCGGTCGAATCCCTCTGTGGTGCTTTCCGATGGGTTCCTTTTTGCGCGGCGTTCCAATAGGAATCCCTTAGTGGTGCTTTCCAGTTCAATCGGATCCCTGTTTGGAACTTTCCAAAAAGTTCCCCTTTGTGGCGCTTCCCAAAAGGAGCCCATCGTAGCGTTTTCCAAAGGGTTCATCTTGTTATGCTTTTCAGTGCAAGCCCTTCGTGCTGCCTTCCAAAAGGATTCCTGTTGCAAGGCGCTTCGGTGGAATCCTTTTGTTGCGCTGCCCAAAAGATGTCTGTTGCGAGGCCGTCCGGCAAAACTTGTCCCATTCCTTTTCAAGGGGTCCCTGTTGTCGTTCCCCCAGGGTCCCTCTGGAGCGCTTTCCAAAGGACTCCAAGTATCATTGCTTCGAACGGAAATCGTGTTGCTTGACAACGCTTTCCAAAGAATCCCTGCGTGAGGCCATACAATGGAATCCTGTGTACGACTTCGCACAATGCTCCAAGGCCGAAGCTTTTCAATTGAATATTTTCGCGGTGGTTTCCAAAGGTTTCCTTTTGTAATGCTTCCCACTAGAAAACCTCAGTCGTGTTTCCTAAACGGTTTGAGCGGGTTACTCTTGCGAGGCCATAGAAACCATGTGGGTTTTCCGAAGGATTCCAATTGCGGGCGCTCCAATGCAACCTTTTTGTGCTGTCAAATGGATGTATGTTGTGAGGCCTTCAGATACAACCTTTCAGGTCCATTTCCACAGGATTCCATGTGTGTAAGGATTTCTCCACATAGTCCCTGTGGAGCGCTTTCCAAAGGATTCCAAGTGTGATTGTGTCTAGTTAACAGAATGTGTGTTGCAGCGCTTTCCAAAGGATCCCTGTTGTGAGGCCGTCCGCTGGAGTCCCTGTGTACCACTTCGCACAGAGTTCCGAATGCGAGGCTTTCCAATCGAATCCCCCGGTTGCGCTTTCCACAGGATTCCTGATGTGAGGCTTTCCAGTAGAAGCCCTCAGTAGTGCTTTCCAGAGGGCTCCGGTTATGAGGCTTTTCAATCGAATCCCTTCGTAATGATTCCCAGCGGATTCTCCTGTCGCGAGGACATGGGATCTCTTCGCTGTACTTTCCAAATGGGCTCTCTTGTGATGCTGTCCGATCGAAGCCCTCAGTAGGCTTTCCAACTGAGGAGGCTAGAGAAATGGTGGGATAGCTTGAGAGAGAGAGAGAGAGAGAAAACGAACAACACTAAAGAAATAAAGAGAGAGAGGGAGATAATGATACATATATATATATATATACATACAACATAGCTATGTAAACGTACGCATGTCTATACATATGTTAAAGATAATGCTCATAGTCAAGAAAATCGGACAGGCTACAACAACCTCTGTGCAACCCCGTGTGACTCCACAATCCCCCGGCCTCTCCTCCTCCCTCCTCCTTCTCCTTCTCCTCCTCCTCCTCCTCCTACTCCTACTCCGCCTCCCTCCGTCGTCCACCTCTTCCTCCTCCTCCTCCCTCTTTCTTCCTCCTCCTCCATATCCTCCTCCTCGCACTAAAGGCCACTCCGGCGAAAGGCCCTTCCTGCGCGCATGCAGTCAAACCGTACACTGAGGACGCACGATAAGGACGCAGGGCTTGGAGGGCCATGTCGGCATCTTGCAAGCGGGGCGCGGCCAGCGAAAGCGGCGCAGGGGAAGGATGCAAGGGCAACCTGGGAGAGTCGCTGATCCTTACTATGCGGGTTGACGCGGGTTCGTCGATCGTCGTCGTCGTCGTCGTCGTCGATCGTCCGCGATCGTCGTCGGTCGTCGATCGTCGGTCAACCGTCGTCGTCGTCGGTCGTCGTCGTCGTCGCCGTCGTCGTCGTCGTCGTGGTGGTGGTCCTCGTCGTCTATCGTCGATAGTCGTCGGTCGATCCTCGTCGTCGTCTTCGATCGTCGTCGATCGTCGTCGGTCCATCGTCGTCGTCGCCGGTCCATCGTCGTCGTCGTCGGTCGATCGTCGTCATCGTCGGGTGATCGTCGGCGAGCGGGGCGGGCTCGAGCGGGGCGGGCCTCGTCGCCGCTCTCGCAGCGCGGGGGGTGGCTCGCGTCGCAGGACAGCCGCAGCGGGGCCGCGGCCCTCAGCGGCGGCACGCTCGAGGCCTCCGTCCCTCCTCGCCGTCCGCTTTTCCTCCGCCCGTCCTCCCCTGCCTGCACCCATGTTCCCAGCGTCGTCCATGTTCCCAGCTTTTCCTCCCAGTTCCCTCCATGTTCCCAGCTTTTCCTCCCAGTTCCCATCGTCGTCCACCTCCTCCTCCCTCCGCCTCCTCCTCCCTCTGGCTCCTCCTTCCTCCGGCCCGTCTTCCCTCCTCCTCCCTCCTCCGCCCTCCTCCTCAACCTCCTCGCGCCTCTTCCTCCTCCGCCTTCTCCTCCTACTCCTCATCCTCATCCTCCTCCTTCTCCTCATCCTCCCTCTTGCCTGTTTTCCATATCTCCTCATGTTTTCCGTCCTCCTGCGTCAAGGGGAGGGGCCGGGGCTTGCCCTCGCCCCCATCTTCCCGCCATAGGGCAAGGGTGCGATACCCTGCGCCAGCCCGAGATTTCGGGGGAGGCAGCATGCGCTTCCCCGCCAACAGGCCTACAGAAGCTTCAGGCCTCCCTCGCTCTCATCGTCAGACCCCATCCATGTCTTCGTCGCGTCCTGGTCTTCCTCGTTCTCCCACTTTATCTGAGGCCTCCCCAACCTTCACCTCAGCCTGTCTCCCCTGCTTCGCCTGTACTGTCCTCACCCCATTCCTGTTTCCTTCCTCCTCTGCCTCCTCCTCGTTCCTCCCCAGATTCGTCCTCGTCGTCTTCCCGCTTTGCCAATTGGTCAAATCATTCATCACAACCTCCTGGACGCAAGGGGCCTCATCCAACGAGGAGTTGAAACCTGAAAGCGGGAAGGTTCGTTTTGGAGGTGAAGGGGGAGGGAGAGGAGGAGGAGGAGGAGGAGGAGGAGGAGGAGGAGGAGGAGGAGGAGGAGGAGGAGGAGGAGGAGGAGGAGGAGGAGGAGGAGCGAGCGTCCCTGGGGGCAAGAATCCTCCTCTCGCCCGCTGCGCGTTCGGCCGCGCGCCCTCAGAAGTACGCAGGGGCACCGCATCACGGTCGGCGGCAGAGGTGGCGACGCCGTGGGCGTCAGCGAGCGCAACCTGCGACGCGGGGTCGAAGGGCGCGTGGTCGGGGAAGGCGCCCTCGACGACCTCGGAGGTGACGAAAACAGGAAAAGCAGCATTATGATAATGAGCCCCAGCAGTGGGCGAGGCGCCGTCGATCACATGGGCGCTGAAAGTGGGGCCGCCATCGTCCCCCGAGTCGAACTGCATCGCGTCCTCGTCAGCGCAGGGCTCGAGAAATTCAGGTTCATCATCGTGAAGCTCCTGAACACCAGGCTCAGGGAGAAGTTCCAGCTCAGCATCAGTTGGTAGCTCTTCGCCTGCTTCCAGGAGGCTGCCAGGGTTGCTCAGCATACACTGAACCAGCTCCCTCTTGTCGGCGGAGATCTCGGGGTACAGGTCGTCCAGGGCACGAAGAGCATTATCGAGCTGCTGTCCAGAAGGCGCATCAGGATGGGCAGGGATCGCTGGTTGAGCAGTCGTCATCGGGCTCGCTGACGATGCGGCTGCAGGCGCTGTTGCTGACGAAGACGGACGTGGTGCAATACATTCAGCGAGAGCCTCGAGCGCAAGTTGTAGAGCAAGCGGGGTTGACGGAAGACGCCCAGACGTGTTGAAGCCAATGGCAGCGCACGCGCCCTTAGGCCCAGTTCCAGCAGCCAGTGGGCCCAACTCACACCCTTGTCCTTCAGCGAGTGCACCAGGATGTTTGGGCTCGGCAGGCCGCGCAGATCGGGGAGATCGCGAGCAGCATCACGGGGGAGTTCGGCCTCTGAGTGATCAACCTCTGAAGGCAATGCTGGCTGCGATGCGGGCACGCATGTCGAGTAGAGGGGCGACGCGGTCATGCCGGGAGGCGTCGCAGTGCCGTCAACACCAGACCCCTCAACATCAGGATCGCTGTCCTCCCTCTCGTCGATGTGGTCTTGTAGCCCAGGGTGGCGTTCTCGTGGCGGGGGCGCATCCACTGGACTGGCAGCAGGCAGCGCAGTCGCGGACGACGACGCTGCAGGGCTCATCAAAGCAAGAACATCGGCGTCAGCTCCAGGCGGCGGTGGCCCAGACGAGCTCGCAGCAGGCCAGGGGTGCAACGTGCCTGAGGGCGCGGGCGGTTGCACTTGCCAGGCCGCGGGCGGCCTCGGACGCGAACCGAAGATGCATTCAAACTCGTCATCCGACATCGCGTCGCCCTCATAATTGGCAGGCGGCGGCAGCGCTTGAACAGATTCGGCTTGAATTTCTTCCATGATTGCCAAGTCAGAGCACCTGTGGGGGCGGGTAGTCGTCCGAACCAGTGCCAGGCTGCTGGTGTACCTGTCTCGTTGGGCGGGTAGGCTTCATCTGACGAGTTCGGAATGTTTTTGAACAGCGGCCCCATCGGGTCCAGATCCAAGTCGTCGGCGGTGAAGCTTCGCGCGGCGATCGGGTTGGCGATCTGAGCGCTCGGCGCGGGAATCATTCTCATGTCTCCGCCGTGCCTCTCAGGGGAATCATTCCCTACCCTGGACACGAAGCGGGCGCGCATGTCGAACGGCATGCGGGACGGGTCGGGGTGCCAGTTAAGCATGCCAGAGAGCACCAGTAGCTGCGCGATCTCGCCCGTCGGATTGGCCAGTGCGCCGAGCAGCCTTTGACGTATACGCTCACGAATGATAGCGCTGCCATGGTAGCCAGCCACGCAAAACTCCCCCGCCTCGCGCCGGCGAAGGCGCTCTTGAGAACCTGCCCTGTAGTCGGTGATGCGGGCGAAGTGGTCAGCGAAGGGGGAGCAGAACAGCAACCCATAGACGTAGTCGACGCACCAGTCGAGCCCGGCGGCGAAGTTGTCCGCACCGCGCTGATAGTTCAGAAACGGAAGCCAGCTGCAAGCAAACACCGTAGCACGGTTTATCATCTCGCGCCTCATGTTGCGAAAACGTAGCTCTGGGGACAGGCCATCATCGGGTGCATGCTGCCGTGGGTGAGCTCGCCACGAAAGGCCCCAAAGAGAGCGATCCTGACCAGGTCCCCCTCGGCGAAGGTGTTCCTTGTCTCCAGCATCATCACCGCGCGCAGGGATCCCGGGCGCCGTCGCAACCGAAGGGCGAGCAGGACCGTGCCGCTGTCCGCCACAGGCATCATCAGCAGAAGGAACCGAAGGTAGGCGGGGCAGGTCGCCACGGACCCCAGTCGCATGCTGAGCAGACGGCAGGCGGAGCAGGTCGCCGCAGACCTCCGCCGCATTCGACGAAAACGGTGGGCGGAGCAGGTCGCCACAGACTCCAGCCGCATTCAGAGAAGACGATCGGCGGAGCAGGTCGCCAGGGACCTCAGCCACTTTCAAAGAAGACGGTGGGCGGAACAGGTCGCCACTGACCACGGCCGCATTCTGAGCAGAAGGCGGGCGGAGCAGGTCGCCGCAGACCTCAGCCGCATTCAAGCGTGAAAGACCATGGAGAAGGCCGCCCCCAAGCACGGCGACGAACGGGGCAGCCATATCGGGGGGCGGCTGGACTTTAGCCTCAGCGAGCCTCGGCGATGCAGACGTGCACGCGGGTGTCGCAGATAGCTGGGGGCTCTCAACTGCCCCGAAGCCTTCTCCCATCATCCTCCACGCATCCCCCTCGTCGCCATCAAAAGAGGGAAGAGGGTCGAGCAACGCGAAGGCCGCCTCCGCAATCATGATTCTGGGGAACGAAGGTGTCGTACCAGGCGAGCTTGAGGGGGAGAGGGCGATGAGCTGGACGACGAACTGGGCGACGAAGCAGGCGAGGAGCCCGATGGTGCAGAGAGCCCCCGAGAGCGACGCACGCAACTAGCAGACGCAACAGGGGCCCTCAAAGGTACTGCCCCCCCCAAGTTGAGCAGTTCGAATGGAAGCTTTTTCACGTGGGCGAGCGGTCCATGGTGGTCAAACGCGCGCTGCTGAGCCATGGGCCGCACTGGCATGGGTGTAGCGCATGACCACGACGTCAACTATGACGCGGTCGAGCTCGACGGCGCTTCCAAACAGCCCGAGGCGCCCAAGTGCAGTAGCTAGCCGCGTGTAGCCAAGTTCCTCTTCCACGAGCTGCCGGCACGGTGTGGGGATGAGGTGGTGCTTGAGCGCGTTAGGGCGGTGCTTGCACCCAAAGCGGCATGCTAGACGACCATGTGGTTGCAGTATGCGGTGCGAGGTAGCCCACCCATTGGCGACTGTCTTGATGTAGGCGAAAGCCCACGGCGTAGAGCACTTCCGAGAGTGTCGAAGAATGTGGTCCCATCGATGTAAAGGGACGCGCGAGTGACCGTTGTCAGACATCTCAGGGGATGTCTTGAAGAGCCTGGCAACGAAGCAATTCCACAGCGGGCATGGCGTCAGGCAGGCCTTGAACGCGTTGGCGACATAGCGTTGGAGGCCAGAAGAGCGCGAGGGGCGAGAAGACCACGCACGAGCTGCCGTACGAGCCGCTGTCCACCTTGATGTGGTATAATGGGGGGGAGTTCGCCGAGTTGCCGCCCCTTCTGAGCCCTTGCCAGGGTTTCCACGAAAGCTTCTGATATAGGCGCGTCGACAATGTTTGAGAGAGAGAGAGAGAGAGAGAGAGAGAGAGAGAGAAATAGAGAGAGAGAGAGAGCCCTAAGATCGCCCAGTCGGTCCCGTTGCCGAAAGAGGCACTGATGTAGACGCTGAAACTCAGGAAGAGTCGCATGTGCAGTAAGAGTAAGCGCCCCCGTGCTGAGGGCGAGCCAGGACGGGATAGAGGGACCGCCCGCGCCACGAAGCTGAAGCCAGGCCGCGACGTTAAGGATGCCAAAAGGGACCCGCAAGGTCCTCGATCGCGCGACCAACTTGTCCCTAATCAGCCACTGCGGCATCGCCCTGAACTGGGCGACATAAGAGCACTGGCGTGATCCTGTTGGTGCAGTTGGTCGCTAGCCTGGAAACTGCCAAAAGACTGTTGCCGACCAGACGAGAGCGGAGCTTTGCCTGAGATGACGGCGCCAGCAGCAGGAGCTGGCATCC